GTTCCACACAACTCAAGTTAAGCGTTAAGTACACAGGTTCCAAACATAAAAAAGAACACAAGAAAATGAAGTCAAAAGGTCATAAACATAAATACATACCCATAATAAATTCACTACAACTCTGCCATATTGCTTTACCTTCCCACCCTTCAATACTGCGTTGAATTTCTTGCATTTTCTCAAGAACTTCAGGTCTGCCAAATCGACTTTGTAGTCGTAAAGACATTTCCCTAAAAGAAACAGATCATCATGAACTTCAATTGAAGACCATTGTCTGTAAGGATCATTTTCATGAGAATAAACCAAAAGTATTCCAAATTTTGACAAATGTGGAATCAAGCAAGACCATCACTACTGTTTTGAAACTAATATTACAATATTCAAATAAAAATAAACAAAATTGTTGATTTACTGGCATAAATTATATAAACACAAAGGCCCTCTTGAATGATTATGGAGCTCTCAGAATGAGAATTTACCAATTACATACCATGTTTTTCTCTTTGGAACATTTCCACCAAACTTTCTTTCCATGGATGCTTTTAGTGCTTGAAGTAAACTATTAGCTTGTTCTAAACAATCTTGATCATCTTCACTCTGACTGCTTTCTATTAGTTTCTATAAGAATACAAGATCATCTGTGAGTATAATAATGTACTACAAGACCTTCCACAAAAGAGACGACTCTGATTTGTAATGCAGATTCTTATCATCCTATGAAACATCAAATACCATTAAGAAAGACTGAATTTCACCAAAACAGATTTAAATAAAAATAGATGCAAGATTTTTTGGACTGCAAATATAGATATTTCACATGATGGCATTTCTTCCTAACTGACTTGAAGGAGATGAATCTTATAACAGATACAGATGTTCACTGAAATACCATGCCAAATAGAAAACATATCCTGTATACTTAGTTCAGTAGTTAATTTAAGGAAGCATGGAAAGCAAAAAAATTAATTCAAAAATCCAATCTAGTTCATGAAAAAGCTGTTAAGTGGTGGTAGGTGTTTCAATACTTACATCAATAACTTCAAAATAATGTAAACAATGATAGAGAGGTCCTAATAATAATTTAGGTAAGACATATTTAACAGCTATCTTAAATCCACTACCAGATTTCTGAAATTACAAATTTTCAATTATGTCAAAGCCTATAAAGATGATGTATTTTTACTTTTCGAAATAAATGAAAGAGTTTAACATCTAACTTTTCTGGAATTATTGCTTTCTTGAATATATTATTCATATTATATTCATGTGGTATGCAATTGAATAGTCATATTCTTCGCCATTTTGTGATGTTATGTGTCATGTAACTTTATATGTAACACTTAATAAAATCTATATAAATTGACTCAAGAGTGTGGGCACACAAAATCAAAGAAAACAAATAGTCGACAAATATCAAACTAGTTTGATGTACCTGTCAATAATGCAAAAAACCTTGTCGTAGAAGTGCAGCACAAAGGAGGTTTTACTCATGAATCCCGTCAACATTAGGCTTTGTTTATTTGTCTTTACTCAAATACAACAAAACTAACAAATAACCTACCTTCATTTCTGCTTCGACATCTTCTCTCTGTAGTAAGGTATATAATCTTTCTTTACCTCTAGGTGCCATCATATCTTCTACATACTTAGCATATACATTGAATTCTTCACCCTTAAGACAAATAAATAATATTACTATTACAAAACAATTTTAGTCTTAGTTATTGACAACAATAAGTCCAGCGTGTCAGTCAATATCATTTGACATATAGTTTTAAACAATCAGCTATACAATATGATCACGGCACCTGAATGACTCAAACTATTGAAGTTAAAAACTTTATGAACATCATTGAAAACCAAAGAAGTATCATAGTTTCCAACATTTAAAGATGGGTTATGAAAATGAAATGCTAATACTTATATGAATAGAAAGTAGAAGTGTTCTAATGACTTGGAAAAATACTAATTTGTCTCACATGTCTATAATTTATTCATAATTAACTAAATTAGAAGAGAATTACCAGCAGAATTCCAATGAGTGACCGATCAAGAAAGGTCAAAAAGTCTTTTTTGTTTATCCAGACTGTACATACATTGACATTTATGATTGGTTAAATCTCTTAATAATATGCAATAAGAACATAATGATATGATTAAGAATATATGATGATTCATTAGAAACACCAATTCATCAGATAGTTTGCTTAATTTGACACTAAAAAATAAGGAAACCCATCTTTCAAGTCAAGGGATTTTCTATTTACAAAATTGTAAATGGACGCAGATTCCTATTCATTGAATTGATAGAAATTATAAGTTTGCAAGAACTATACTTTAAAAACTAACTATTACAGTAGTGTAACCTATTTTCATGGATATAAGGATTCAACACCGAATTTCGTCAAAGTTAAAGATACGAAAAAAAAATTGTATGTCTTAGATGTTTCCTCAGATATTCTACAAAATAATTAAAATTGGTTTGTTTCAATTTTCTTAATGAATCCTTCACTTTGACCCATATTTCATGAGCAACCAACTCGGCAACGGCGGCAGAATGCGTCACCTATTTTCGTGTACAATGTTTGATCTATAAATAAGTCTAGAAAAACACTTCTCTTAGTATTTATCTTTAATATCGATTCATTATAACTAGTGACAATTCCTTCAAAGAACCACAAATTAAAAAAAAAAAAGCGACTGACATAATAAGAAACGTAGCGTGATTTATTGCTAAAAGTCACTGAAACAACATAAGAATATGGCCCACTTTGTGTTTCATAGAAATTTTCTGCTGACACGGAATCCGCTAGTTGATCACGTGACTTCATTCGTTGGAATATATTCTAGCAGACAACAGTTGGAATTCCGATTACCGCTTGGGATTATAAGAAAATTCGGCCGATAAAAAATGGTGACGTTTGGTAATAACTGAAATCAGCCATTTTGTATTTGTCAAAGTATACATTAATACATTTTACCTTGCTTGAAACTACTGGATTCATTCTACTAGCTGATATTGTAGAGAAAACCCATGTTTATCAAAACAAACTAATGCGGAGGTCGCGCAAGGTCGCTCATGTAAATTATTAATCCTTTCCGGAAATCCACGAATAATAGGTTTCCACGAAATAAGGTTACTTGACTGTATTAATTCTGCAACATGAAACTGATACTAACCTCTGCTATATCTTCAAAACATGTACCAACGTAGGGTGTTTCTTTTCCATCAGATATCTCTACTTGATCTTCAACTAAACTTAATAATTTAGCTGTTAAATCATAGATATCTAATATATTACTAAATATTACCTCTAAATCCTACAAATACACAAAATGTAATTAAAATCTTAAAGTCGTTTTTCGATATTTTAATCAAAAAAATACCAATATTTATATTACTGATGCAACCATATTTTTGAAAATTTTTGTTTCATTTTTCTTTATTTATATTTTGTATGTAAATAATATTGAGAACTTCTGTGGTTCTTGGAAGATTATGACAGGCTCTTTTTTATTATTGCTGTTTTGGGGTATTTCTTCCTAAATCAATATCAAAACTGACCTTGCTTCTGGGAAACAATTCAACAAAAGGAACTCTGAATACTTTAATAATCATATTTAAATCACGTAAATATTGTGTTTCTTCTAAAATAAACTCTTTAACAATATCTTCATATTTCAATGATTCATGATGTACAGGTTCACTTTCTATGACAAGATTTAAATCTTCCTCTTGTGAAAACATGTCAATTAAAACCTGGAATTAAATTTCAAAAAGGATTTATAAGCTATGCAAGTCATGAACAGAAGTCAATCATGAATATTCAAAATCAGTGAAGGAAGACTTTTTTTTCTATTCTCCTCAATTTCTGAGTTACAACAAACAAAATGATTTTATCAATAGATCATGCAGATTTAGATCCATTCTATGCCAAGATTGATGCATTCAGCTTCAAAGTAATTAACATACAACTTAATGTATAATGTATAAAAACCATTCAATTTTTTTTTTACCTGATCTGCACATATTGCCACTTTTACATCTTGTCTTGTTATTTCATTATGTCTAATATTCTTAACATATGTACCAGTAAACTAAAAATATTATAAAATCATAAATGGATATACAGAATAATGAGGTATATAATCTAACATATTTTGTCTCAAAACACATAAATTGTAGTTAAATATCTTTCTAAAACTTTCAAAAAATTTTCCAAACCATGAAACTAAACCTAAAAAACAGCTTACAGGCAGTTGGAACCTTTTGCTGGGGGTATTAAAAAATCATATGGTCACCCCTACCTAACCCTATTTTTTAATAAGTCACCATTTTGGGGCATGCGCAAAGTGTTCTGATTGGCTACTACATCACTTTGCATTATATACCTGGAATAACAGATTGTGATTATTTTCTTAACAACTTAGTTTGATTGTACTATAATCTGTGATTTTTGAAAGTTATATTATATTATTACCTTGAGTATATCAGCAGCTATATACTCTAATACTGCTACCATATACACAGCTACATTATAATCTACTCTATATCCCAGTAACTCCTATTGATAACAAAATATTAATATAATTAATGAATGAAATGGAATTTGATGTTCTACTTTTCTACAAATTATTTTGCAGTCAGAAAGGAGGACTGCTTTGTCAGTGAGGCCGCATTAGCCCACTGTTTTCACTATCTAAGAAATGTCTGGAAATTTTCATTATGTCAGCTGCTGTCTAACATAGGTCTCCATAGCACAGTCTGTTGGAGCGTTTGTTCTTTTCATGACGTCATTTACTTGATACCTTGAGCAATGAGCGATTGACAGCTATGGGTTCTGATCTCCAGCAGTGCGTGTAAGTCCAATGACCTTGAATAAGTCATCTTCACTCATAATTCCAGTCAACCCAGCTGTAAATGAGAACAAATAATCTGGGAAAGATCAAAGCCAAGGAAAAATAACTTCATAAACAATTGGACAAATATTTTACCTTCAACAAAGGATGAACTTTATCAACAGGCAAACTGGACTGGTTATTATTTGATCCTTTCTTTCCTTTTGTCTGAACGTATTTCTCCAGAGCACCTTTAGCTTCTTGTATTGCCCATTTATCAATAGGGTCAGGAAATGTCTTCTGAACTCTATCTTCAATATCTTGTACTTTCTGTGGTTGACTTGAACATAGAGAAACTATTAAATGAACCATTAGGCTCTCAATATATTCTAATGCATCTTCTTTTGCACTCAGGTCAGGATGAACTTGGCGCTGAACCTAAAATAAACAAATAACCATTTTACATTCTTAAAAATCACATTTTTTCAAAGCTTAATTCTAAATGATGTCTTAAAACTTGGTATGTTTTGATATCAGGATATGGCACTAGTCTAGTACCCTGGTACATAAGAAACACAGGCTTCTTCTTATATAGACAGAAATAATGTAAATAAGCTTAAACCATTTTCCTTTGACTTATGAACCTTCAAAGGAATACTGTTCTCTATTAAAACTTAATCAACATTTCATCATAATTTTTGTACTCTAACTTACCATCTTTAACAGATTTATAAAGATTCCCTTCCACTTATTACGTTGCTCATCAGAGAAGAGGGCTATTGTATTATCCAAATTTGATCCAGCGCCAATAAACATTCCACCTTTCTGCTGAGACATGGTTGTTTGTACCATTGGTTTTATTTTAATTGATGGTATCTGCAGTACTTGAAAATGACCTCAATCAAGTAATTCTTTGAATAATGTCAAGCTTGTAAACAATAAATGCCATGTTTTGTTTTAGCTTTAGTTCTTTCTCAATATTCCTTAGCATTTGGCACATCCTATATGTCTTATCAAAGAAGTTAATTCCATCGATAAGAATGGTAAAATAATATTCTTCTACATGATTTAAGGCATCAATATATAAAACCAAATGTCTAAGATTCCAAAACAATGTCAACAAATAACAGTCGCATTTATTTTTATTTTGACTTCCAACTTCGTTTCATTTTCAGTTCAATCTTCACTGATTTGCTGACACATTTGATCAGCTTATTATCTTAGAAGAAGATGTCATATCTATGTATCCTTTATTAAATTCATGCTACGTACAAACAAATATCAGATTTTGACGACGTAAATTTAGCTTTTTTTATTATTTTTTCGCCCAGATTTCCGTAATATGACCGGAAGAGGAAAATAAAGTAACTTCATTCGTTCAAAATCTTAAACATATCGAACGCCACTACAAACGTAACCAATCCAATCACTTGTAAGCCAAGATCCTGAATTAACCGTAAATTCATTAGATTCGTGGAAAATAAAATGACACAACGAAAAATGAAGCATAACCAAGAAACGATTAAAGTGTTTTTAGAATTCCATCTCCGCTGCTAGATACGTTTTGAAATATATTTTCTTTTCTCCTTTCGTGCAGGTTACGCATTATTATATAGCTATTTCTGCACTTTCTTTGCAACTCTTCTTCCGGTTGAAGATCGTTATCTGCTAATGAATAAAAACATTTGATAATGGAAAAATGTTATGATTCTTACGTGTTTTCTGCAAATTATACATCTCGAAAATTAGTCAAATATGTTGACGGTTTAACTTGCTCTCTTGGAAATCAATATAAGGATCTCGAATTTGATCAACAAGAACAATTACTGAATGACTTTGTTGTAGGCCATGAAATTAGGGCGTTGTACAACGATCCTTCCATTGATGAGGGTGATGATCTGAAAGACCGCATAGCATCATTTCCAAGGCTAACATTTCAAACAGGAGAAAAAATAATTGTTGACTGTGAAAATGATGTAAGTTCAATCAAAGGTTTGTTGTTCAGATCTCCCCAGTCCAACATGCCATCTGCTGATCTGGTTTGTTATCAGATAGTTCATTACTCTTTTTATGCTAATGTCAGTGATTTCCTCCTTGTACACTTTCCACAATAGTGGATTCATCCAAGTGGTTTCCTCTCTACTTATATAAAGAAAAGAAACTTCATGGAATATAACTTTCTTTTCATTTTGATATGAATCTTTTGCTCCAAAGCAGTTCCTTGACGGCTTGAGTCTTGATAAGTCTTGGAGTCCATGATTAACTATAAATGATAACAGTTTTAATTCGATTGGGAGTTAATGTTTCATTGAGTATTTTGTTTTAATATTTGCAGTTCAATACTTGGCGAGATGAACATTCTGGACCGTTTTCATGGAAATCTCTGGTAAGTTTTCAGGCTAATAGTGAATACTGATATTGATAGTATCTAGTACATCATATTCTCTGCAAACAAAAACTTGCTACATACTGGAAAAGATTTTAGTTGTGAGAGCAACATTTTTTTTAATTTGGCAGGGTCTAGAAATTTCCAATCCATGTGTCATATGTGTTTATTTAGAGCGAATTCACACATTAGCTTTATATTGGAGTTTGCTTTATCACTTTATCTTGGCTGGCGGTTTTTATAGTTTTTTTGACATTACCTAGTAAATACTAGTTCCTATTTATATAATAGACTTGATTACACTTATTTTTCATATTATGTATTAAAATGGGTTATGAATGATATTTTGTAGAGTCAACAAAATCTGACATTGGATGATTTGGAGCCTAGTAAAATGACCAAACCATTAAGTAAGCAGATTCCCACAGATATTCCTCTATCTTCCAAAGAATTCCAGTTTGAACCTCAACCATGGACAACTGAGATTATCACTGATTACAAAAGCAAACTTAATCAAATTAGCACACCAACTGATGGGGTAAACAAAGGTTTTGAAGGAAGCATTGAGAATGTTTCACATGCATCTCCAGCTTCACCAGCTTCACTAGCTTCACCAGCTTCACAAGCTTCACCAGCAATTGTGCGTCCACATCAACTTAAACCTGAACCAGTAGAGAAAGTTTCTAAACCTGTTCCCCCAAAACGTCACATCAAGAAGTCACCTGTGTCACCCAATGATGACAAGCATGCTGCAGACAGACTTTTGCCTAAGCCAACAGAAGAAGATTGTGTTTTTAGTAATCCTACAATGGCTGTTAACTATTCCACTTTTGTTGGACAAAATGTAGATGATGAAGAGGAACATTTTGTTTGCTCTGTTTCTATGACAACTAGTACTAATAAAGATGCTGAAAGCCATGATAAATACTCAATGGAAGAATCTCACACTGATGATGATGATACTAGCAAACAAGAGGTAGGAAAAGTATTTTCAAGTGTAAAATATGGATTTATATTTTCAAATTATTCTGTTTGAATAATATTATCTCTCTATCAATTAGCCATCATAGATAGGGCATGTAGTAGTTTCCCCCCTTTACAAGTTCATCCTTAGTGGTTTCCACCCATATTCTTAGTGGTTTCCACCCCTACTCAAAATGGTTTCCACCCTAATTAACAGATACTTGCATTCCATTATATATTGGTAAGGTTACCCTAGATGAACATGACATTAAATCTGTAAAGTTTATTATTCTAAAATTTAGTTGATTGCTGATATCTCAGCAATACATTTCTGTGATGCGTTTTATCCAAATTTCTACTAATTTGACTTTGATTGATATTCAATTATTGGGATGAAAATAAAACTAAAGAAATCACTCTCATGGACTATTTTCTCTATCTGAGACTACAGTCTTAGTTTTTGATCACCTGTATTATAAATTGTAATATATTTCAGACTGAAAGTGGTAATGATATTTTATCAGAGACAGTGAAGAGTGGATTTGACTTTTTGGATCAGTGGTAAAAGGATGTTTAGGTCTGTATTCAAACATCAAGGGCCAGGGGTAAACCTTAACACAAACAATTTATTTTAAAGTAGGTTAAAGATGGGTTCCCTTATTTACATTTATGAAAATACTAATATATTAATAGAAAGTAGAGTTTTTATGACTTGGAAAAATGCCATTTTGTCTCATGTCCATAATTAATTTATAATAAGCTAAATTGGAAGAGAATTTCCAGCATAATTCCAATGAGTGACTGATCAATAAAGGTCAAAAAGTCTCTTATTTTTGTTTATCCAGACTGTACATACTTGGACATGTATGATTGACTCTTAATTATATGCAATAAGAAAATCATGATTTATACTTAAGAATACATGATAATTCATTAGAAACACCAATTAATCAAATAGTTTGCTTAATTTGACACTAAAAAAATAAGGAAACCCATCTTTAAGCAATAATATAAACATTATAGGTCTGACTATAAATATTTTCCACCTCAAATCAAATTATACTGTTCACAGAAGACTAAAAGACGACTTTGTACTGTCATTGGTAGAATTTATTTAATTTAATTATTTTTTTCAAGTTAAAAAGATTGAGGGAATATTTATGTAGTGTGTAAATTTTTGGACCAAATAACAAAATTCATTTTACAATGGTGGATATATAATTACATTTTGTAATTTTTCAATAAATTTTTGTGTCTGAATGTATTTTGCAATGATTAATTTGTATAACTGTTTGGTTTTAAAGAGTGAAGTGTTGAAAGAATGTGTTTAATGTATATTAATATATTTATATATGTATCTATATATCTATGTATATATATATCTATTTGTTTGTTTGTTTTGGTTGTGTATGAATTGAGTTGTTTAATTATTAAACAAAATGGGAGTAAGTTTTTATCTACTATTTTTACCTCATATGCAATATTTATATTTTTTTCTCTTTGTAAAGATTTAACTTTACATAGATATTTAGTCATTATTTACATATACTTAATTATTTTATATTATTTGTTGTATATTGCTTTACGTATATTTGAAAATACCTTGTATACTAATTAACTATAATATTAGTGTTTTCTATAATTGTTCATTAAACGCACACTTTCTCAACAAGTTGCATGAAGTTAGACAGCTATAACTTGGTTCAAGAAGAATTAGAAATTTGAATGTATAAACTTTGACAACTATTTTTTTTTCTGTCCAAAAAGTAATGTTAGGTACTCTAAGGCAAAATAAAACTTTTAAACTTTCTGACCTGTGCCTTTGTACACGAAAACGTTACCTGGTGTGATTGTAGTATTCTGTTAATCTGCAATCAAATTAATGTATATTTCACTATCTGGGTTATATTTCCTTCTTCTCTTCAAAAGACTCAAATCAACTTTAATTTGTCGTCTAGTTTAGAGTTAACATAGGACTCAGGTCCAAAATTAATTTTAAAATGTTTATAAAACCTTAGTTTACTTGATAACTCTACTTCTGAAAACCATAACGTACTGATCTTTGATTCGACTTTTAAATTTATTAATATTTAGTAAGTTTGGATCGTGAAAAACAGAGGAAAATCCCAGATTCATTTAAGATGGTTTTGATGTCGGTAATCCAGTTATGTTTTCCATTAGCATCGTCCTTACATAAAACTTGGTATATATTGAGGATAAGAGGATTATTGGAGGCAACAACTTTTAACCAGTATTCAATCATTTGAACCTTACGCAAAGCATTTAGTGGAAAGAACCCAAGCTCACCCAATGCAGCGACTAGAGGGGTAGACTTGCCCAAATGTAATGAATATCGAATAAAATCATTTTGAACTCGTTCTAAAATTTTACATGTCAAGGCACCCCAAACTTCACAGGCGTAAATACACACATAGATATGATATAATATATCATTTTAACTTTTATATAGAAACATACACAATTATTTCAACAATCATATAAATAGCAAATACAACAAAAAATATAATTTCAGATTTTTAACATTGTGAAAATGGAATAAGTTTATAATTATTGTGTAAAATCTGAACAAATTGAAGAGAAATCACAGATATGAATGGGACTCTAAGGTAACATAGGAATGTTATAAATAACATAATGATGAAATAACTTATTTGAGATCACTGAGTTTGATATTAGAAACCATGACAACCGTTTCTTTGACACGAAACAAAAATTCACCAAGATTCCAATGTTCTAACTGACTGTGCTACAGCTGGTCCTTTACCATAAACATCATACAAAGTACAGCTCTATAATTTCTGTAATTGATTAAGTGATATAGTGAAAACATTTATTATCACAAGAGGCTACTATGAAATTCCTCAGCCAGTTCTTTTGAGAGTAAACATAATTTCTTGTCAAGTCTATGCTAACCAATCACCAAAATAAAAGTGTACAACTCTGTGTTAATGAGAATAAAAGTAAGTTATTTGTGAAGTAGAGTTCGACAACACAGAGGAAAGGTCATATCATTTGAAACTTAAACATACTGTCTGACTACGTTAAGCTTTGAATTGATTTTTTCTCTCATTTCATAAATATTCAAAATAAAATTTTCAACTGTACACCATTTGTCTTGGTCTTCAGGTCCATAGTAATATAAGATTGAGTAATTTTACACTTGAAATAGACACACTTCCTTCCCAGAAAATGATCTACTTTTAGGATTGAAAATTACCTTCTGTAAAATCATGTTAGCAAATAATATTTTTCCAATGGTTAACATTTTAATCAATCCAAAGACTATCTAAGACTCTCAGTAGTATTTTGTAGTTGATATTTCAATTCATATGAAAATGATTACCAAATTCAATCAGAAAACAGTGTAGTCAGAGACTAGAGAATTATTTCTCTTTCAATTTTATCACGTATTGCTCACATTGTTTTATATTTTTAATAATTGTAATTTATAATGGAGACTAGTCTTCTTTATTTCTTAAAATTATTCAAAATATTGACTACAAATAATTATATACATTAAAAACCTGAAGCATAAAAGCAAGGCAACCTTAATTTTGAGCATTTAAAAACCAGTCAAAATATGACAAGGAGTTAACTCTGAAAACCATATGACATGAACCCAATCTAACTGCAACAGCTATTTTTGTTTGAACTCTGACTCTCCTCAATATCTGTGTCTTCAAAATTGGTATTATCTGTATGTAATTGAAGACTATCTGTTGGTTGTTTGACGTCTGTTGGTAATTTTAATATATGGTTGATTAAAAACTTCATGGCTTCATCTGAAATAAATTTCCAAGATAAAATTCCTGTTAAACACTTAAAGGAACATTCTGCTTTTTGTCAAATGTTTTCATAATCAAAAAGGTTGTAAATTATACCTGAAAATATTTCTAAAATATGTTATTTATATCCAGGTATCTTATTGATCGAACTGAATTTGTTATAAAAGGGTTAATTAAAAACTGAGTACTAATTGTTAATTTGTTTTGGTGTTTGGCTTTTTAATGGTTCGTTAATTGAAACCTTTAGAATACGCTTATTTTACTAAAATCCTTACAGTAGTTTTTTGAAGGGGTATTCAGCTTTTTTATAAATAGATTTCAATATCAAAAAACATCGTAAATTATACCTGAAACTTTAAAAATATTTTTTGTTAAAACTTTCTGATATGTTAAAGGGCTCATTTTTCTAGATTTTGGTGTATAGTATTCACAAATTTGAGCAAAGAAAATACTTCCCCTTTATTAAACCTAAAAGTTTGCTATCTTGTTTGGGATTGGAAAACTAATGTACAGATTTAAGCAAAGCAAACAACAAGTTGTACAGAAATATTACAATATAAATACACAAGATGATCTGGGAGAACTGCTTTATTGAAGCTGGCAGCACGTCATACATTGCGGCATACATATCTTATCTTTAGGACTTCAATAGAAGATTAAAGATTCTTAGTATATCCAAGATCTTAAGGGACATGGTTTGGACATTATGAGATGAACACTGACTGACCTATTTTGACATCAGTTTTAGCAGATGTTGCAAACCAACCAATAAATTTATGATCTTTACAGAATTTATTTAATACTTCTTGTTGAACCTGTACATCTTCAATATCACACTGAAAAAATTAATTAAACATAACTCAAAATTAACTGCATCATATTTTGAAATGAATTTAAAGATGGGTTCCCTCATTTTCATTTATGAAAATCAAAATGCTAATACTTATATAAATAGAAAGTAGAGGTGTTCTAATGAGTTGGAAAAATACCAGTTTGTCTCATGTCCATAATAAATTCATAATTAGCTAAATTAGAAGAGATTTACCAACAGAATTCCAATGAGTGACCCATCAAAAAAGGTCAAAAAGTCTTTTTTTGTTTATCCAGACTTTACATACATGGACAATTATGATTGGTTAAAACTTATATTATATGCAATATAAGAAAATAATGATATGATAAAGAATACATGCTAATTCATTAGAAACACCAATTAATCAAATAGTTTGCTTAATTTGACACTAAGAAATAAGGAAACCAAGCTTTAAACTAATTACAATAACCTACTTTTAAAATCCACCTTCTTTTATTCTTCTATTTTCAAAATAAAATTTTTTTGCAACGCATAAAGTTCACTGCCTAGTGTCAACAAAAAAATTTGCCCAGTATGAATAACAAAATATTTTACAAATTTTCTCTATGAGACTCCAATTTCTTAACAATTCATATTTACCTTATTGGCTATTAACATAACAGGTACAGGCTGTTCATTACCTAACATTACTTTTGAATTAACATCATTCAACCATTTTAATACTGAGTCAAATGTTGCTGGTCTGAAATGTTTTGAGATAAATATGGATGTTCAACTGATATAATGCTCAAGTTTTCGACATTTTTGGTTGAAGCAATTGAAAATAATCCAGAGCTATATATTCACTTTGGATTTCAAAATTGGACTCATATGCTTTCTATGATTCTTCTACGTATTAGTTTCATCATTTATGGTACATTTTTAATGTTTCACAGGTATAATATCAAGAATGTATCGGGGACACTGATAGCATCAATTTGCACCATTCCAATTTTCACTCCAACGTCTGTGGTTCTTGCAATTCCACTAAAACTAACGCGTATTATGACGTCACTAGAGGGGAACTACTGAAAGCTACTATTAATATACAGTTCCCCTCTAGTGACCTCATAAAACGCGCTGGTTTTAGTGGAATTGCAAGAACCACAGACGTCAGAATGAAGCGAAAAAAACATAAAGTGAAAATTCACAGTTGAAATCTAGTGGCACATGATAAAAAATATTACCTTGAAAGATCAAATACTATTATAGCTGCTATTCTGAAATGGACAATATAAAGTATAAAACTTATCTGTTGCCAAGCTTGGCCTTCCTATTCTTAAAATTCCAAAGATGTTAAATTCTATTTCAAAGTTTTATTTTCGAGACTAATTTCATCATTTGTAACTAACAATGTAATGTAAATCTAAGGCTAACTTACGCATATTTATAATAAACTCTTGTCATGTGACCAAATCGTTCATGACCTGCTATATCCCTGAAAAAAATCGAATCTTTACTCTTCAAATTTTTAAATGGGCAGCTCATGACCAATCTGAGGAATCTAAGAGATTATTGAAAAGGTTTTCTAATTCTTTTGAGTGTCAGTGACACTGATAGCATCCATTTGCACCATTCCGATTCTAAATCAGACATCTGTGGTTTCTGCAATTCTAAAACTAAGTGTTTGATGACGTCACTATCTCACAATTTTTCATTGAAACAAGAAACAGGTTTTACATGATGCGCACCAATTGGTTTAAAAAATGTCACAAGCACCAGACTGTGCAAGCAAACTTGTTAGATTACACTAGAGACAAAATTGAATTAAAGGGCTCTCAAAGCTTTTACATATTTAACTACATCTTACCATAGTTGTAAATTAACTTTCACATTTGTATCCCATTCTATAGTTTTTAAAGCAAAATCCACACCAATAGTTAATTTGTAATTTGGAAAGAAGGTTCCTGCAAAAAAAAATTCAGGTGAAAATTGTGAAATTGTGAAATAAGAATCAAACTTTAATCTGATTATCCACAAGTGAAATTTGGTGTGAAAAATTGTTAAACAAATATTTCAATCTAAATTGAACCCTAAATAGAGTGTATGCTTCATAATCAATGGAGTTGTCTTGGTGCTGAAGAATGAAGAATAAGATTTCTCTGCTGAACAAATAAGTGTCAAAAAATATTCCTGATACTACTGATGCTTTCAAGCATAAACATTGTGTTTGTTGAATCTCATATCACTAGCTTTGTTGAGGAAATAATATTACTATGTGACATGATGCATTGGCATAGAGTGTACCAGTCAACAATATTATCTTGATAAAGAAACTTACCTTCTGTGTATCTTCTTATGATAGATGTTTTACCTACAACAATAGTTTAATTATCAATGAAGAGCAAAATCCTACTACTGTAGCATATTCTCATAAAACAACTTCTGTCCTGTTCAGTGAGATTGCATATTTTGCTCCTATGTCAGTAGTTCAGTACAGTATTAGAAACTTTACTTCCTAATGAGTTATGAATCTAATGAAGTAAATTGACAACCAAATAAGCTGCCACTAATACCACAATTTTTACCAATCCAACTAAGACTTTTAGGTATCAAAAATTGACATCCATTTGGCCTAAAATTCTGTGATAATTATACTATTCGTTAACAATGACAACTGTGGAACATTATCATTAATTATTCATCTTAGAACTACAAGAATCCGACCTGTCAATTTTTTTAAAATACAATAAAAATTCAAATTAATGAAGAAGAAGTAAAATCAGGTCTATAAAATCTGCATCAAAAACAATGGTCTTATTCCAAAAAATTAAATGGAATTAAGAATGTCAGGTTGTCTGTAGGAAGTGCTGAAAATTTTCAGGGTCATACCTACTCCAAATTCACCAATAACAAGTATTTTATAGAGGTGTTCTTGAACAGAAACTGTATTAATGGGGCTAATATGTTTTTCAGCGTCAATGGACGCTGCCATTTTAAAGTCATATGACAAGTCACATGATAATTTGTTTTGGTTACCTTTTTGAGCTCTTTTCCTTGGATAGTTGTTGATAATCACAGGTACCAAAGATTTTCAAAATGGAAAGGTTTGATTTTAGTAACATGCTTATAAACTTATACAAGATATAATTTAAGAGGGCTCAACGAGTCCTATAAATTAGTTTTTTAAAGCCCAAAAGAATGTCACCAAAAAGCCGGTTAAGTTACTTCCGGTATAGTGAAGGAACGTGTGCTGTAACTTTGACGAAATCCTGAAAGTAAGTGAAGCAAAATTAGTTCAACATAAGAGCGTCTGTTGTATTTCAATACGTTGCAATAGACATACTATTGCTGCTCGAAACATCTAATAGGTAATCTCCAACTCCTGTCTTAAGTTTCAAGAAGTTGCATCATTCTTTCTGAATGTGGTGAATAATATAATAAGGCCTAATTGCTACTCTGCAAATAATATTACAAGTCTACCATATACTATATAGGCTAGGACTATAGGATAGATCGACTACAACTGATACTAGTGATAGCAATACAAGAAGTTAGAAGTAGGTTAGACTAACAATACCTGATTTTGTTTATGTCAGTACGGTAGTAAAGATATAAGCTCAGGTTTCCATAGAAGCAAGATTTCTGCCATTTTATTTCTGTTTTTCAACCTTTTTTATAAGCTTATTTTAGGCTTCATTTATCAATAAACGTGTTAGATATTAACAAACATTTAAAATACTAATAGTTAGGATATCAAAATTGATTTTACTTCATGTACTTGTACAGGAATTGTGACAAGCATCATGATATAGCTCTAAAAAATTTTCATTTCATATCTGGTTTACTTTGGTGTTTTTTTTCCAGGTTTAATAATGTCTTTAAGTTTGAAGTTGAGTAAGGATAATCCTTCAGCTGGTTAGTTGAGTCTATTCTTTCACTTGTATTTCATCATGTACCGGTATGATATACTTTAAACTTAACTTGACTCAGAACACTAGTACATGAAGGAATAAGTCTCAAAACAGAAAGTTTTTAGCTAAGCGAATTGGTAATAGTGTTCACAGCTCATCGTTGAAATTATGCGATTTTCATACATTTTCAGAACTTCTGAAGACTATTTAAATATATTCAACACCCAAATCAACTCTTGAAAATTGGTTAATCTTTAATGCTTGTAGGAAATGTTTGTTTGTTAACCTGTCAAGATTATTAATATAATTCTAGGTATTTTGTTGACTGTGAAGTATATTAGTGATAATGGCTATAATATAAAGTGTCAGAATGATGTCAATACTGAACTCATTGCTAATGGGTAAGTTCATCTGATTGAACCTTTCTTTGAAAATGATTCATATTAAACTGATTATATTAGTTACTGTAAATTATCTAGTTAAAATGAAACATACAGTTTTCAAAGTAATATAACTATTGTTTGAATAATAGCCTTTCTTGCTATTGACTGCTATTCAATCAACCCAGAAAAGAATGACTGAACAATCAAAACCAATGTTGTAATTGACGATGAGGCAGATAAAATTAAAACCCTTAGTTGTATTGTTTATGTAGAACTAAAATGCATCTGACTCTAGTTGGCATCTGGTACACCTGAGTAAGTTATAAAATTATTTTTACAAAATATTTGAATGATATTTTAGGGTGTTTTTTATTTTTCAGGAATACCAGCTTTTCCTCGCCATTATCTATCTGTAGATATTTGGCTAGAGTTTCAAAGACTGAAAAATTGCTTGGCACTACTCTACTGGAAAAAACTGAGGTAAATATAACAAATTTTCAGATTAACCTCCAGCGAAACTTTAAGTGGTTAGTTAGGTATTCTTCCTGCAAGCATAGGTCAAGCTAATGCATTCAGATTTTTCAACCCAGTTTCCCTTGTTAGTGAAGCAGGTTGGAGGGACTGACATGAAAAAAGTGTTTGGTCGCATGAATGAAACAATAAACCTGGGCCCTGTGTGCTACAGGCTGTGCACGTTAAAGATCCCATAACAGTTTAAAATTGAAAAAGACTAAGCCAATGCTGCCGTTTTAGCTCATTGCATACTGCATGGCATTAGCCCAATTACTTGCAGAAGAGTAGAACTTAAAACTCCATTTCATTTCTCAATGGTAAAGGAAAACTGGTCATTACAATCATACTTGTACATTGCGAGACCCTTTTCTCTACGCAGCTGTTTTCTTTACATAGAATTGTTTTGCTATTGTAGGTTGATCATTGGACAACGTTTGCTAAAGGTCGACTGGCTTGTACATCTGATTTTCCATTAGCTGTAGAATATTTAAACACAGCACTATCATCTATAACTTATTTAGTTGGTCATTCTATTACACTGGCTGATTTCTTTGTTTGGGATACTTTATATTGTAAGTAAATAATACAGCTATACCAGTTGATAACATAATGTCAGCATTCATAGTTGATGTCAGCATTCACAGTTGATGTCAGCTTTTACTGTTGATGTCAGTTTGTACTGTTAATGTCAGTATTTAGACTACTGCTAATGTCAGTACTTACTGCTAAGCTCAGTACTTACCACTAATGTCAGTATTTATCACTAATGTCAGTATTTACTCTAATGTCAGTATTTACTGCTAATGTCAGTATTTACTGCTAATGTCAGTATTTACTGTTAATGTCAGTATTTACCACTAATGTCAGTATTTACCACTAATGTCAGCATTTATTGCTAATCTCAGTATTTACTGTTAATGTCAGTATTTACTGTTAATGTCAGCATTTACTGCTAATGTCAGTATTTACTGTTAATGTCAGTATTTAGACTACTGTTAATGTCAGTATTTAGACTACTGCTAATGTCAGTACTTACTGCTAAGCTCAGTACTTACCACTAATGTCAGTATTTATCACTAATGTCAGTATTTACTCTAATGTCAGTATTTACTGCTAATGTCAGTATTTACTGTTAATGTCAGTATTTACCACTAATGTCAGTATTTACCACTAATGTCAGCATTTATTGCTAATCTCAGTATTTACTGTTAATGTCAGCATTTACTGCTAATGTCAGTATTTACTGTTAATGTCAGTATTTACTGTTAATGTCAGTATTTACTACTAATGTCAGTATTTACCACTAATGTCAGTATTTACCACTAATGTCAGTATTTACCACTAATGTCAGTATTTACTCTTAATGTCAGCATCACCTCTAAATTGTCAGCAGTTACTCTAATACTTCTGAAATGTATAAAATCAATGTGAGGAAGATTTTTGTTTGCACTTGTTGTGAATGCTTATGTTAATACCCGCCAATATTGTAGACAAATTTTGTTCATAAAGGAATAAAGGAAAATTAAAAAAAAAAAAATCTCAGAATAAGAATGAAAATTCTTATGCTCCTAATTGTTTTTTTTTTAGCAAGCAATCTGTGGCAGAAGATGATTGTTAAGAAAGATTGTCCAGTGAATGTGTTAAGATATTACAAGTTTCTGTCTAATGATGAACTGTTCAAATCTGTATTACCACAACTACCTAAAGTTTCTGTACAGAATGATAATGAAAGTTCTGTAAGTTTCATCTTTATCTCAATATTCATATAAAAACCATTGTAGGGGAACACGAAAAGTTAAATAATCTATTTTTCACAGATTCATCTAATTCTGCTAATATATCATTCTTGGTTTTCTGCTACATGTTTATTGAACTTCATTTGCTTCAAGTTTTAATAAAAAAATACCATAGCAAACTGTTTCAGCTCAGCTTTTGGATATTTGCAAAATCACATATTTGCAGGAACCACAGACATCTGATTGAAAATTTGAATGGAGTTAATTAATTCTATCATTGTCCCGATATACATGAACAATTTCGAAAATGTCTTTCAAATCCCTTTAAAAGATCAGGTATTTGTTAAATATTGTATTTGAATGTAATTCAATAATTGTAGATTAAGAAAGATGAAGGAAAGTTTGTAGAGTTACCAGGTGCTAAAATGGGAGAAGTTGTTGTTAGATTTCCTCCTGAAGCTAGTGGGTAAGTGGATTATCAAATTGTTAAAACATTTTTTCTCAAGTAAGGTCTTGAGCTATCAAATTGAAAAATTTTGTTTCAAGATAATACTTCATGTTCCAATGAAAAACATAAACACAAGCAATAAATATTTGGGTTCTATTTAACAGTACCTAAAAATATAGTGTATATTTTGAATCCAGATGTGCACAAATATATTTGCTTCATGGCATCAAAATCTTAACATTAAAATATATAGCAAATGATCTCTGACCGCTTCAGAAACCCACAGATCACCTCTGTATTAAGAAATTTAATAATGGATCTTGAAGGTGATTGTTTGAAATACATTATAGAAGTGGTAGTAAATTGATATATATATTATTGTAGATATTTACATGTTGGCCATGCTAAAGCTGCTCTACTCAATCAATACTATCAACAAAGTTTTAATGGTACATTGATTATGAGATTTGATGATACTAATCCTGCTAAAGAAAATGCTGAATATGAAAAGGTATTTCAATTTCTTTTGCCACTCTTCCTATCAAATTCCAATGATGACCTACAGGATATGCAGTGATGAATTTAGGAAAGTTTTCTGATCTTTCCTTAGAGACACTCACAGCATCCATTTCAATTTCCTGGGCAATATGTGACATTTGTTTTCAATAACCATTTTGAATTTGGATCACAACATCACAATTAATTGCCAGGACCAGTTGCAACCAATTGCCATTTTAAGGCTACTCAAATGTACTGGCAGATCGAAAAAACGTAAAGAATACACAAGAAAAGACCCATTAAAAATGACAAATTCTAAAACAGTTGCACTCAAACTGCTACATATGCGACAAGATTGTGTTCCCGAGGCACATTTCTAATAAAATCTATCAGTGTATTTCACTTTTATTATTGTGTTCATGGAGATGTTTAGACACTTGTCAAAAGACATTCTTGATTCCTTGTCGATCTCAACGGTGATTATTGGCATCAATAGCACTCATTGTACAATACCTGACACTTCCTACACGTTATGGCGACTTGAACTAGCTAATTTTATGTTGCCTTAACAGTACATTAAGGACGCCTTTCTGAAGTGACGAGGCTATAATGAAATATTGAAATTCTGCCCAAGCACCATAATATAAGAACTCTATAATTTATAGTCATAATTAAAGTGCGCACCCCAATCAACAGTGTGAACTTATATATATCATCTCAATACCATGAAACATTAAACTATGCCATATGATAACTTTTGTTACTTAATTGAAATATGCATATGAGTTAATTTGATTTGACATTGTATTTATTTTCTGATTGATAGGTTATTTTGGAAGATTTAAAATTACTAGGAATAAAGTATGATAAATTCTCTCATACCTCAGACCATTTTGATAGTTTATTACAATACTGTGAAGAAATGATCAAGAAAAAGAAAGCGTATGTTGATGATACTGAGCCTGAAGTAATGAAACAAGAACGTGAAGAGAGAATTGATTCAAAACACAGATCTAACAGTAAGTTTCTCTTGTATTCTTTGATATGAAAAATATGTTGGAAATCTTGAAAATCCATTCTACAAAAACTTGGAAGCGGCATTGGACAGAAACCACATACGAACACCTGGCTACTTAAATAAATGGTTGAAGTCTACATATAAAAGTGTTGCGATGAAAGACATCACTGACTTTAAAGACAACAGGATTTTTACCTCACAGAAAAAAGACTCTAGTTACGTGCTTTCTGGCTTTGCTGTTTAGTCATTAATCAAGAATTATATCATTTGAATTTCCCAAATTTCTCATTATGAATGCAATTTTGGTAACTTTTCATGTGTATGTATGAATGATCATGTGTAGACTTGTACTTCTTGTCTTTTTAAAGGAAGCTATTTAAGTATATAATTCATGGAATCAACCAAATGTTCATTAAAACAATTTGGAATAGGGTTCAGAACACATTTGATGGGTGCCAAAAAAATAGTAGGTGCAGACAGAATTCAAAATGGCGGAAAAGGAAATATTTGGGAAAATTTTTATTGTGACATATCTGTATACTGATTGTGAGCAGAATGTAACAAATGGATTCTGTTCAGAACTCTTCAATCAACCACCACTATTGAAAATGAAAGAGGCTTGTGTTTGATTGTAGGTGTGGAGAAGAATTTAAAGATGTGGGAAGATATGAAGAAAGGTACTGATTATGGTATTAAATGTTGTGTACGAGCTATGTTAGATATGAAGAGTGATAATGGATGTATGAGAGATCCTACTATATATAGATGTAAACCTGAACCTCATATCAAAACTGGAGACAAATATAAGTGAGTTTATCTATATATGTTAACTAGTCTGAGATAACGATAGCCAAACATTATTGATCTTGTAAAATTGAAGGTTCCTTAAATTCGAGAACAATAAAGATGAAAGCACAATTGTTTCAAATTCTTAAACGCAAGCACCATTCCAATTTTCATTCCAATGTCTGTGGTTCTTGCAATTCCACTAAAACTAATGCATTTTATAACGTCACTAGAGGGGAACTGCATAGATATTAATAGTAGCTTCCGTTAGTCCCCTCTAGTGATGTCATAAAACGTGTTAGTTTTAGTTGAATTGCAAGAACCACAGACGTCGGAATGAAAATTGGAATGATGCAAATTGATGCTATCAGTGTCCCCGATACACATACAAAATTTAGAAAACCTCTTTACAATCCCTTTAATTTGATTTAATGTCTTACAAGAAAAAAAAGAAATTTTTGTTATTCATTAGTACTTTACATATTGGGGGGAAACATTTCACTTACGTTCATCTCGAAAGTCTTTATCCTGACCTGAAAGAGCATTGTATATATGCAAAAATTGTCCTTATTATATTAAAAGTGAAAGCAGAGAAGCGATTTTAACTGTTTATCTTTAACAGTTAAAAAGAAAAATGTAAGTAGTAACTAATTAAGAATAAATCTGGATTATGGGGTAATAATCAAATGATGCTGCGATGAATAACAAATATATGTGCATGTGTTTGTTGTTACAGAGTATATCCTACGTATGATTTTGCCTGTCCAATAGTTGATAGTGTTGAAGGAGTAACTCATGCTTTAAGAACAACAGAATATCATGATAGAGATGATCAGTATTTCTGGTTTATTGATGCTTTAGGTATGTGTTTTGTTTTCTTGTTGCAATATTCTAGATCAATTTTGAATTCTGTTATTTATTTCAAAACGGCTTTCGAAGCAGCATGAGCACAAAAAAATAACTTGAAGTCTGTAACTTTAAACTTCATCATTTTAGAATAGATCTAGATAGCTGTACTCAAAATCCTCAGTTTTTCTTGCTTTCTCATATTGCAAATGTGGATTATTGGATTATCTTTCTGTGATTATAACTATTTATTTTGAATTCAGGTCTAAGAAAACCATATATTTATGAGTACAGTAGATTAAATCTACAGAATACAGTGATGTCTAAACGTAAATTAACATGGTTTGTTAATGAAGGACTTGTTGATGGATGGTAGGTCTATCTATCTATCTTATTTGGTTGAGATTAGAATATTTAATGTAATGATTGGTAATAGACCTTATTCATATGTGGGCCTATTGAATCCAGAAGAAGGTTCATATTGCAAACAATAAAAAGGTAACGTTGTGTTACTGCACAAATTCTCCACCTTGACGTCTTTAATGTCTTCTGCTCCAATCCCACTAACTTAATACTAATCATATTATACGTCATTAAATTCGAAATTGCTATTTTATGATACTTTCAGGCCAATTTTACCTTCGCACATTTCTGAGAAAGAGCAGTCTTAAGCTTCATTTGTATGAGTGTTTACTTACATCAAATAGGCTATTCATTCATATGACATTGTCATGTTATCAATGGAATATGTAATTTGCGTAATGAACCTCGCTTTCAGTGATTAATAATGAGGTGTGAATATGGTCTATTGATGTATTAAGTATTAATCTCAAAGAAATTGATTTTCATCAAAAGTTTATAATTTTTTGAAGGGATGATCCAAGATTTCCAACTGTAAGAGGTGTTTTAAGACATGGTATGACTGTAGAAGGCTTAAAACAATTCATTATTTCTCAGGTAAGTCAGTGGGGGAGCTTGATTGTTGAGTTCTGCACATTCAGGATTTTTGGAATTGACGGAAAGTTCAATAAAAAAAAGTGGGAACAGTGCTGAAAATGTGTTTCAAAATGGCAGAGAAAGGAATAGGAAGGAACATTTTGAATGTGACATATCCAGGTAGGTACTGATCAAGTTGAGGCTAGAATTCAAACAGATTGAAGCAATGAACCATCATCCATTACACAGTTAGGCTGGGAAGATATAAAAAAAAGTATGGAAATGAAATTTATATGAAATTTTTCATATTTTTTTGATGGGTTAAAATGCTTCTGTGATTTACTATTGAAATTTCCGGTACAGTCTTTCTCAACCACAAATTCTAAACATATTTATCTATTTTTAGGGCTCTTCAAGATCTGTTAATATGATGGAATGGGATAAAATATGGTCTGTTAATAAAAAGGTCAGTATTTTTTTTTTTAGGAAGGACATCCTTCTTTTACTGATTGCTAAGAATGACTCAACAATGTATATGCCTGCTTGCTATTTCAGAGGTCCAGAGGTCTATTCCAGCATAGAATGATATAGTGCTTTCAAATTCTTCACACATGATTTCTGTCTGTCAGTTATGTACATATTAAGATGGAAAAAGAATTTAGTCATTGTGAACCAGGATTCAATCAATAGAATCAGGAGCAGAAATGTAGTAGGGTGATAAACTTTATTTTATTTCATTATTACTGAAGTCAACCTTTTTCTTGTATCTGGGTTTTCAAACTCATCTGGAACTCTCTCTATGTATATGTTTTAGGTAATTGACCCTATAGTACCAAGATATACTGCTTTACTAAAAGATGATGTAGTGCCCTTGATAATAAAAGAAGCTAAAACAGAATCTAAACAAGTTGCAGCTCATCCAAAGGTAAACGTGTTATATTTTCCTTATAATGCATGGTAATGTTGTATATATTAAAGGGGTTGTAAAGATGATTTTTGTGCTTATTGGGGACACTGATGGCTTCAATTTGCACCATATCAATTTTCAATCAGACATCTTTGGTTCCTGTAATTCCACTAAAACTAAATGACAGCACATCCTCATAACTCATTTGAAAGATTTCCTACAAAACATTGAAGGAGCTGCAGTGTTTCAATTCCAAGATGTAAAGATAATATCTTGGGATTTTTCAATACTTCTAAGGTCCAAGTGCAAGAGCAGAGGTCAAATATACATGTATATGAATAAAAGTTCATTTATTATACTTACATTACTAAATGTGTTAATGAAACCATAGCCAGATTATAACTGTGATGATTGTATTAATTTGTAGAATAAAGAAGTAGGTGAGAAGACAGTATGGTATGGTAATAAGATCTATATAGAAGGTGCTGATGCTAAAGTTATAAAGGAAGGAGAAATTGTTACCTTTATTAACTGGGGTAATTTGAAAATTAAAACTATTAAAAAGTAAGTATTTATTATCACATTATAATACAATTAAAAAAGAAACCATTAAGACATACCTCTACAGTTTCCAAGTCCTTTGTAAATTTTGTATTGTTCAACTATATGATTAGTATAACAAGATGATCTTGATATGGAAATCAATATTGTTATGTAAATTATATTATCTGAATTCTCTTTTAGGAACAGTAAAGGTGAAATAGAATCTATTGAGGCAGATCTTGATTTGGCAAATACTGTAAGTTTATTACTGTTATATTTTAAGGTTATGCCTTATTTGAATTGTGAATATTTAGCATTTAGTCCCAGAAATTTTTTAATGGATCGTGTGTATTGATGTTAAATCTGCCCTTAGTGCCCTGGGATGTTTTTACACCCGGGGGGTGTGGGATTAGGGTGTGGCCAACTGGTGTAGGAAAAGAATTTATTTTGAATTGAGAAAGCACCTCACATCATCACTTGCTGGAGTGGAAATGTGGATGAAACAAATTTTTGGGGTTTGAAAGGTCCAGGTGATTTCTCCAGGGGTGTGAAGGCTGAAAAAGGTTGTAAACCACTGCCTTATTGAATAATGATATAGTAGAGCCAAAATATTTGTCTCTCTGAATATAATGATATCATGCTCTGAATATTTTTTCTGTCATTGGTTGGTAGCCAGTCTGATCTGGGAATGACAGTGCCTGGGGCAAAGGTCGATGTCCAAAACTTTTTTGTGTTCAAGACTATTTGTAGTAAACTGTTTACTAGATAATGATATATCTGTGTAATATTGTAGGATTATAAGAAGACTCAGAAGATAACATGGTTATGTGATTGTAAGGAAGGAGAGTTAATACCTACTGTTTGTATACAATATGATCATATTATAACTAAACCTGTACTAGCTAAAGATGAAGACTTTAAATCTTACATCAACACAGATTCCAAGGTACTTATCAAAACCTTATTAAAATCTTTTCTTGAGCAATTACTGAATTAGTAAAAATGTAAAAGTTTGGCTTGTAGACACGATAAAGGCAACAATTTTAATTCGATCTTTATGAAACTTAGTATGCATGTATATATCGATGACATTTCGGTAAGTTCAAAATTGTAAGTCATCAAATTTAGCTTGAATGCATGATAGAGGCTCTTTTTTTTATTCCATCTTGTTGAAACTTAATATGCATGTATATATTGATGAGACCTCAGTCAAGTTCGAAATTGGTAATAATTAGATGAACGGTTCCAGAGTTATTGCCCTTGACTTTGTAAAAACATGTCAAATTTGCAACTTGGTATGCATGTAAGTTTATATATTGATGACATCTTAGTCAAGTTCGAAATTGGTAATAATCGGATTATCAGTTTCAGAGTTATTGCCCTTGTGTGTATGTCGATGAGATCTTGTTCATGTTTGAATTTGCTGAACTGTTTTTGAGAATTCATTATTAAGCCATTATAGACGTATGTTACCTTGCCTGGCAAATTTGAACTACTTACTAAGCTTTTCAGACAGCGCTTAAGAATATTCACAGATAAATAAGTGTGGTGTTCGAAGATGTAATCGATTTAGACAGTAATTGATTATTTTATGTTATTATTAGAAAGAAGAAGTGATGTTAGGTGATCCATGTTTATCATCATTAAAGAAAGGTGATATGATACAATTACAGAGACGAGGATATTATATCTGTGATCAGCCCTACCAACCAATCAGGTATTTTAATTAAGACATGTTTATAATGACAATCCAATTTCATATTTTAACCTGATACTGCATATTGACATTGTAAGACCACCAAATCACATGCTTCTATATGAGTTCATATTATTGTGAATTTGGTGTCTGTGACGCTAGATTGACAAACTTCTTTCATGTGATTTCAATGTAATTCTTTAGGGGGGCGCTCAACCACACTCTCAATAAAACAAGCTTGAAGATAGTTCTCAAAAAAATATTGGGTGCAGACGCAATTCAAAATGGCAGAGAGAGTAAATGGGATGAAAATTTTGAATGTGACATTATTTGAATCGGAGCAGACGGAACCTGAGCAGAACTTGCCAATCGAGCGCTACCTAGAATCCATTCATTAAAGAACTGTTTTAATGTTATTTACAGTGCTAACACTGGTAAGGCTAGTCCCTGTGTGTTATTGAGTATACCTGATGGACATCAAAAAGAAATGCCTACAGCTGGATCAAAACATAAAGCTGAAGTTAGTGCTAAAGAGGTAAGAGTCATTACAAAATAATTAACTTATTAGTTCTATAATTAGTTCTTGTTCTAAGTTTAATATCATAGAAATATTAGGAAAAAATAACTTTAGAATAAATTCAGTAGAGAAGAAGGTTGGAATAGGTTGGTTGTCTGAATATTGCACAGCATGAAACTCTGAGTAACAACATGATTCATGTTCTGTTTTTCTCTCCAATTCCTTTATTCACAATATCCAGTACAGTTTTACACATTAAGTTATAAACATTTAGGAAAAAATATAATATTATAGCAGATATAATAAAAACATATACTTTCTATATACATATATATTCAAAAGTCAACTTTCTGGAATATCCAACATTCTAGTTAGAAAGTGGTTATGAACTAAAACCTCACCCTTGCTCTAAGTTATTGGAAAATCAAAATATAGGTGAAAAAGTATGTATTTGTTTATGTGTTCTAACATATGTACGTCTGTTAATAGAAAGCAAACAGTAAGAAAGGTAAACAAGCTGAAAAATCACCACAAGATGAAAAAGCACCCAGTCCTGTAACATCTGGTAGATCAGTCAATGATATAGATAAAGATATCAGATCTCAGGGAGATATTGTACGTCAATTGAAAACTGATAAAGCTGATAAGGTTAGTTATTATCCTCTACGAATTATGAATTGTAAATTCATGATATTTGCATCTTAGTTCTAAGTATGTCTTTTATTGGTGTGAAGTCGGGATCTCTTTTGGTTCCTGTTTACCTTCGAATTTCCAAATGATAAGTCACATTGAGTCAGAGAGTTATACACAGTGCAATTTCAGGATTTATGGAATCAATGAAGCTTTTAATAAAACAAGTTAGAACAGAGCTCAGAACGAGTTTCACATGTGCCACAAACATAGTTGGTGCAGACAGAATTCAAAATGGCCGAAA